TACATTTATAGCACATCTCAATTAGCCTGGCTACATTTCCGTGGCTGGGTAGCCACGGCTTGTGGCTTGTGGCCACTGCATAGAACAGCGTGGGTGTAGCTAATGTACAACCAAGATTGAGATCCACTGGGGTAAGGGCCCTTGCGGACCAGCCCAAAGCCATGGAGCTTCTTCTGACATTACTGTTCTTAACTTGAGTATAAAGGAAGTTTACTGCAGCTTCTCTCTCTATGGTTAGTAATCAGGTGTGGCCATTAGGACATTCAATTTAATCCAAGTTTAGTCTTAAAAACTGATGTCAATTTGAAAGCAGCAAGATCAAGTAAAGCAAATGAATCTACATGACCTGATGCCACCAGAGGCGAGAAAGACACTATGGGAACATTAACAGAGGACAAAGTAAAACAGTGATCTGTTTTGGTTCCTTCTCAATGAACCCATAGCTGGGTAAAGGGGGAAGGGGTGTTGAGTATCCCAGAAAAAAAATACGAAGCAGATATTAAGCAATCCCTTGACATTCTATGCTACATTTTGACTCAGAACTTTCTGACTCTAAATATCACTGAATATTAAGTAGGTCAAGATGCTTTTCGAAAAGAGGAAGAGGAAGAAGAAGAGAATTCACCCTCTCCATTCTTTCCTACAGTGCTCAACTAACCTTCAAAAAGAATAACCTTGTAAATTTATTGTAAAAGCAAAAGAGATTTCCAAAAAGATAAGAACAAAGATCTGTAGTTCTACCACTTAGAGATAACCACTATTAGCACCCAAGTGTGTACTATTTCAGAGCTTTTTGGTGCATCCATTTACACATATTTTAATAAAAACAGTGTCCAAGAGTTAGCACTCTTTTATAGCAAGATTCTTTGTCACTTAACAACATTTTTATATTTTCAAGTAATTTAATAATCTCCTGCAACAGCATATTGAACCTGTGTTTGGCTGGACAATGATCTACTTAATCAATCCCCTATAATGTATATATAGGCTGTTTCCCTCAAACTGCTAATCACACCACAAATGCTAATGCCAAAAGAAGAACATCCCTTGGTATTTATTTATTTATTTATTTATTTATTTATTATTGTAAATGTTTATTTATTTATATTTGAGAGAAAAAGCATGCACAAGCAGGGGAGGGACAGAGAAAGAGAGAGAGACAGAATCAGAAGCACACTCCAGGCTCCGAGCTGTTTCCAGGTGCATAGCCTGTTGTGGGGCTCGAACCCATGAACCGTGAGATCATGACCTGAGCTGAAGTCTGATACCACCCGAAGACTGAGCCACCCAGGCACCCGTCCCTTGGTCTTTAAATCTGACAACCTCTTGCCTTAGAGCTAGCTGGGCAAGATGCAGAAGAAAAGGACAGACTGTTTTATCCACATGGTCTCACTAAGCCTAACACATTAAGAAACATTTTTTTTCGGTTTATTTATTTTTTGCAAGAAAGGAAGGGTGTGGGGAGGGCAGAGAGAGAGGGAAAGAGAGAATCCTAAGCAGGCTCTAGCATTGTCAGTGCAGAGCCCGATGTGGGTCTCAAATTCACCAACTGAGCCAACATCAAGAGTTGTACACTTAACCGACTGAGCCACCCAAGTGTCCCAAAATCCCAAGCAGGCTCTGCACTATTAGCATGGAGCCTGATGCCGGGCTCGAACTCAGGAACTGCAAGATCATGACCTGAGCTAAAGTCAGACACTTAACCAACTGAGCCACCCAGGCACCCCTCCCCCATTTTGTAGTTTTTCTGGCTCAGAGAACAGCCAGCAGGGTGCAGGGTGCAGAGTAATGCATAGTAATGCCGTGGAAATAATGACATCAAACAAATGATACTGAACACCATTGTGCCACCTTCAGCAGACACCAAGTTTTCTCACTGCTCTGCTCAGAAGGACCTGCAAACCCCAGAGGGACTCTGCTGCCTCTTAATATGTCAACAGCAGCTTGTGCTTGGATTTGAATTGGCTTCTCTCTGGTCTTAGAATTAATCACTTCTTTCAATAGAATCATTCCTGCAATAGGTTTGTGGGTGGGTTGGAAAAAAAAAGTAATAACCCAAGAAGCCTCAAAATTTAAGGTGTTAGTTTTTCTGGCTTATATAATTTGCATAATTATTTGTTCATGCCGCATTTGTATATCACTTCTCTGATTGCTTTATATGATGTGAAATTTTCTGGCAATTCCCCAAATGCCAGCTTCTCAGACTGAGTATGCAGGTTTCAGCCCATGGCAATAAAGCAAATAAATGACTGCAGGACTGCCCGGCATTCAGATAAGGTAAACACCTGCCTTTTGAGCTCTTACACTGAATTGGACACCTCAGTTTGGGAGAACAATATCTTTTCTATTTTATTAATTCTATTAAAACTATTCATAGGAGGAAAAACCAGGTTTTATTAAACTTGGAGGATCAAGATAATTCACCCTTTGCTAGGATATGGTGCACCTGTATCTTTGTGGCACATATAAGCATTATTAGAGAGTCACTTTTAAGGGGAGCTGGTAAACTTACATTCAATCTGTCATATAAAAATTCAATAAAACAAGTATTTATCGCATCTTTATTCTGTGCCAGGCTCTCTTTGCCAAATCTCCAGAGAGAGGAGCAAGAAATATTCCTGCCTTCAAGGAGTTCATGGTTTAAGGAGGGAGATACACACACACATGCTATGGGATACGATTCTAGCTGAGGTAAGTAGAGTGTGATGCTCCAGGAACATCCAGAGGGAGTAATTCATCCGGCTGGGTCTAGCCTGCCTCTCCAGCCCCATCAGACCTTCTATTTGAGAAAAGACTACCCTGGCTGCAGTAGGGAGGAGGGAAACCAGGTAGGACACCATTTCCATCATTCAGGAGGGAGTGAGGGAGACTTGGTTCAGGGAATAGAAGGAAGTACGAGTGATGGTTGGCACAGTACGTGCTCTTTCTTACTAAGCTCATAGTGCTTCCAAGTGTACTTGTTTCCACATGTGGGTTCAAGAACACTTATTTTGGGGAAAAATTGGGAAGATAAGCAAAAGACAGGCAATAAAATTGTAGATGCTGCCTATGGAAAAGGTTAAATAGGTATCAGCTAGTGAAGAAGAAGTACACGAATGCATCCGATCAGTCAGAAATATTTCCAGCAAGTTCAGAGAGGAAAGCTGACTGGCCAGTCTATGGTAAGTTAGCCAGGAGGGGAAAAAAAATGTCCCCATTTAAAATAAAGTCAGATCACTGGCCAGAATGAGTTCTTAAATGATGATTTTAAAGAAACTCCTGGCCAAAAGGCACAATTCCTTGTTTCTTCTTCTGTTTATTCACTAAGATTATGGGTCTCAGAGCCAGCTCACCTGGATTTGAGCCATGGCTCTCACACTGTCTCTGTGACTTGGCACAAGTTGCTGAAACTCTCTGTGCATTAGCATATTAATAGTACTAAAGTTGTGCTCAAAAGGTTGGGGTAGTAAGTACATGTCTTACTGGATGTGAAGCTCCTAGAACAGTGCCCAGCACAGAATGCTTAACTGATGTGGACTCCTTCTATCTGCACGCACGCTGTACTGAGCACTCCCATTGTAGCAGGTGCATTTGAAGTCCTGGCCTTAGAGACTAAGACGCTCCTACTCCAACCTCAAGAAGCCCATGGTCTATTGGGGATGATAAGTGGGAATAAATGAGGCCAATAAAGTGGCCATAAATAGGCCAATATGGCAAGTGCTACAATAGGAGTAAGCACCCCATACTTTGGAGAACAGAGAGGAGGATGATGAGGGAAGGCTGAGCTGACGCCTGTCACCTACTCATCACAGCAAAGCCCACTGGGCTTCAGTGGGCCTACACTCCCTTTAATCCCCTGTTTCCTTTTCCTGCACAAACTTCCTCTGTCAGCACCCTTTACTGTGGGGAGGGGAGCCCAGTTTCTCCTAGATCCTTTGTTTAGTTTTTTTTTTTTTTTCAACGTTTTTTATTTATTTTTGGGACAGAGAGAGACAGAGCATGAACAGGGGAGGGGCAGAGAGAGAGGGAGACACAGAATCGGAAGCAGGCTCCAGGCTCTGAGCCATCAGCCCAGAGCCCGATGCGGGGCTCGAACTCACGGACCGTGAGATCGTGACCTGGCTGAAGTCGGACGCTTAACCGACTGCGCCACCCAGGCGCCCCTAGATCCTTTGTTTAGAAAGCATAATTGGGTGATCTCACCCTGCCCTATCTGAATGAGGAAATAAATAAATAAGCGGATGCTTCTGGCATAAGGGGTTAGGTGTGCGCTCCCCCTTGGGACAGGGAAGGAGGAGGAGAGTGGTTCTGGAGAGGACACTCACAGATCAGACCTAAGTTTTAGTTAAATAAACAGAGGCATCTCAAGGCCTTGGTGAAGATGCTGGGTGAGGACAAGGCGCAGAGCGAGGTGAGGACAGGCTGGAGTAGAGTTTTTGTGTTCCTTAGGTACATATGGCACGGGGGTAGGTGGCTAGTGAATTGAAAAAGGAAGGAGGGGATGATGTAATGGTTTTATGCTTTGTACTTTAAGCCTAGCTACCGAATAGCCCTATCAGTCAATGACTCAAGTGGGCAAGACCACAATAAAATAGTGACATTTAGAAAGCTTCATTTTTTTTTTTTCTTTTTCTCGGAGTCCATTGACCTATTGAGTAGACCCTGTTTACTGGGAGATCACTGAGCAGAAACCTGGAGATACTTTGAATCTCAGTGGATTTGGCAAAGCTATTGGCTCTTTCTGTTGCCAGCCCTTTTTTGATAAGGTGCCACCGCTAACAGCAACACTTTTCTTTTTGTAAAGTGCCTCAGAAGCATGTTGCATTTGATTTTCACATACACTGTATATGGTAGGTCCTGTGAAATGGGCTTTAGGGCTGTTTTCATATAACACATGCTGTTAAGCAAGGTTAAGCTGGTCCAAAGGTGAGGGGTGGAACCAGGGCTCCAGCCTCAACTGGAAGCCATTGTTCATCCCTCTCTAGACCCCAAGCAAGCAGTCGGCAAGTCACACGGCTTACCCCCTTTCCTTCTCCCACAGAAGGAAAACTTCGGTAGGTCCTCTTCACAGATGGGATAGGAGAAATTCAAAATGGACGATCCTTTAGTGAAGAGAGCTATGTCAAGAAACAGCTCTTTGATGTCCTCTCCTTAAAGGTAAGAGAAGACCAGCTTTATTGTTAGTGTGGGTTTCGCTGTGTATCAAAGCATTCAACGTTTATAGAAGCATGAGCAGAAGGGCCTTTATTTCCAGAAGTCTGCTCTGTATGGGGAAAGTTTCCTTCCCTCCTTCCATTTTTCCTTCCTTCCTTCCTAACTTCCTTTTTCTTGCTTTCTTTGCCTTTCTTTCTTTCTTTCTTTCTTTCTTTCTTTCTTTCTTTCTTTCTTTCTTTCTTTCTTCTCTCCTTCCTTCTTTCCTTCCTTCCTTCCTTCCTTCCTTCCTTCCTTCCTTCCTTCCTTCCTTCCTTCTTTCCTTCCTTCTCTCCTTCCATTTATTTATTTATTTATTTATTTATTCATTTATTTGTAAAACAACACTTAGGCAAAGCTACAGGGGATAATGGCAGAAGCCCTTGGTATGAACTGTGACCCTTTTATAAACGTTCTCTTTTTGGAGCAAGGTAGTCACTCTCTGTGCTCCCCAGCCCTGATGCTCTGGCTTCTACAACTTCTCAGCTGCATCGTATTGTGTGCCTCCCCTGAGGGTGGTGGGGTTTGGTCACGCCCCACAGTTGTTAGGTAAATACTATATCACAGTTATACAGGAAGCTTTAGGGTGCTTGTCAGTGCTGGCTTCTAATTCTCTGCGTCTTTTCCTCCATTTCTCCCTACTATGTTGCACCTACTTCTCATTCCATTTCTTTTTTACTCAGCTGCTGCTATAGAATCCAGATATTGTGCAAGTTTCCAGAAATGCGAAGATGCATGAGAGTTCTTGGTCCCTAGCAATGTTCCCTCCATTTCTCTGGAATGGTTCCACACATGAAGTTTATTGAATCCTTCTGTTCTGGCTTTGATAAAACCACTTTAGAAAGGAGATACTCTAGTAGCTATAGCAATATAATGATTAACTGTTAAAGGCATAGCTAAATAAAAACAAACAATCAGACAGCTACCTAGCTCATTGATTGGGGTGGAGGGAGAAGGTATTTGCCTTTGTCACAAGTTTCAGGAATCACATTAACTCTTTGGGAAATGAAATAAAGCAAATATAAGCTATGCTGCTGGAGGTTGACTTGTTTGCTGCTGGGATAACAAAGCAAAAGCTCTTTCCTGCATAGACATCAATATTTAGGCTTGACGTTATCTTTTGTTGCTGTTGGATATACTGATTCCAGGTGCTTATATCATCCAAATGAATGCTTAGAGTCTTTTCAGTACAAAAGCACAGCATTCAGTGAGAGTTCTACTGTGTCTGGATATCACTCAGGAAGAGAAGTGAAAATAGAGATGGAAATAGAGTTAATCCCACAGAATGGTGGGCAACAGTGGCTTAGCTGGCCACTAGAGTTAATGCAAGAAATGGGGGTGTGTGGAGCAGGAAGAGATGGTGCAATGTTTCATTTCATGTCAATAATCTTCACTTACTCAGAACGATTCCAAGCCTAATGTTGAGATTTGACTTCAAGTGTTTAGAACACTGGTCAACAGAAAAGCCAAAATCTTGTAGTGGATCTGCCAAGAAGAACACAACAGATTAGGTGTGAGTACATTGTATACTCTGCAAACTCACATTAAGAATTCACACGAATGATATTTTTTTTTCTCCTACATGAATCACTAAAATGGATTCAACACCATGTTGCCCAGCACTTTTTTTTTTTTTTTGCATAAATTCACAGTGTCTTCAATAATCCCTCCAAGTCTCTCCAAAGCTAATATTGGTCAACGCGATGTTCACCAATGGAAGGCTGTCAATCTGAAATGAGCACGGTGTCTTGATGGGTGGGTGACAATCCGACTTGACATTTTTATCGTTACTTGAATTCTTTTAGTTCCTGAACCTTTGGCCTTAAAATTGCTTATTGGTTATTCTAAACATTTCACAAAGCATTATTATAATTAAAACAGAGGGAAATCTATACAAATTTTCAAAGTTAAGACCTGCCTTTGTAATTTCATGCCATCTCATCTCATTCAATGTAATATTTTTTTTCCCAAATATTCCATTATATGTGAGGTATTGTGCTAGATATGATAGGGACTGCAAAGATAATATCTTTTGCACTTCTGCTCATCAGAAATCTCCAGAAGTTCATTTATGCCTCAGAATAAAGTCAGGAAATGTCCTACTGGCCCCACCTTCCATACCCCACATTGTTAGTTCATCCTCCATGTTTTGAGATCAGGTAATCACCCAGCAAATTCCTGCCAAGTTACCTGCTAATGTGCTTTCTCTAACATGTAATGGTCTCACCCTTTTTGCTGTTGTCTAAATACTGAGGACTTGCTCATTCCCATCTTTTTTGTGAGCATTTCCCTAACCATCCCCCAAATATTTTTTGGCTTCTCCAAATTCTTAAAACAGTTGTCTGAAATATTATTTCAAAATGTACCAACACATATTACTTTGTAATCTGCTCTTGGATTCATCCTACAGCACTCAATCTAAACTTGGAAGCTCCTGAAAGAAAGGAGCTGGGTTTTTGTTTTGTTTTGGTTTCTATGTCCTTTCTTTTTGTTTCCCACTGGGCCTGAGAGAGAGAACTGATTTTAACTGAGAGTCTAAGTTGTAATGGTCAACGAGTTGTGCACTTTACAAGAGTTTTCTGTTTCATCCTCCCGACTCCCTAGTGTGTAGAGCAGAGCCCTGCAGTCGGCTGCATGGAAAACACCCTGTACCTATAGGGAACAAATGGATTGAATGGGCCATGAGTTAAGCTGTTCTTCCTCAGCTCCAGATCCAGTCTTCCAAACTGTGCTGCGTAAACCAGGGCTCTCTGTAATTATGCTTTTCCTTTGCCACCCACCAGCAGAAGTGCCGGAGGGAGACTGAGGCTGAGTGAGGGAAGGAATCTGCTCCTTCTTGCGTACTTGTTAGTTCCTAAGAATGTCACCTGGAAATGGCCTGTCACCCTGGCAGTGGCAATAGGTTCCAGTGTCCAGCTGTCTTCTACACCTTCCCAGAATGAGCTGAGGCTCATCTCTGTGGGTTCCTAAGCTTCTGCTACAATAGTTTCTGCTGCAGAAACTGTCTCCCTTTCCCCAGCAATCTGTGCCTCAGCTTCACAGCGTCCTTCTTTGCAGCTTCCAGGTTCTGGCAACTCCAACTTCTGCCCCCTGCTCTCCCAACACTCCTGGTGGTTGCTGATTCCTCGCTGTCCCAGCGAAAATTACTGACATGATCTGTATTTTCCTGATAGGACTTAGACCAATTGAATAAACAACAATCTTGAGAGAGAACTATGATTTTCCTCATTTCACAGATGGGAAAATATAGACTCAGAGAGGTTCTATGAACTTATCCAGGTCCCACTCTATCATGTGGGTAGAGTCAAGATTCAAGCCCAGACTTAACAACAAACAAAAAATTACAGCCCAGTATTGTGCAGAAGTATTCATGAAGTAGAGCCTCAAAGATGTATGTTAATGATTTAATTTGTAAGATGGCCTGGAATATTTTGTGTGCAGGCATATGGTATGTGATAATTCTGTTTCATAACTGGTTTTAATTTCAGCTTAGCTATGAGCTCACATTTGTCAATGATGGTGTTCCAGACAGTTTTATCATCCACACTGCTGACCTGGAAGATATGTGATTGTCTGTGGTATCTGCTGTGGAAATGATCACTAGGCTATTTTGCCTTACAAATCTAATCTAAGGTGCACTTCTGTTTGATCAAACCCTCTTTGATCTGGCCACCCATTTTCCTGAGGAAAGACCATTCTGTCTTGTTCATTTTACTCCTTCATAAGCACCTTTGTGTGGTCCTGGGATTCTTTCAGCTTGGGGAATGGGAGAAGGAGGTATGGAGACAATCGTCCCTGCTCAGTATTTGGCACTCAGTATTGAAAAAAAGAGGCCAATGAACAGACAGTTAGGAAAGTGCACCTGAATGTTTACTGATGTTTTAAAAGTTTAGATAGAAAAAATAAACAAAGGGCAGGAGAAGGAATAAAACATCTTGATACTGGAAAAATATTGTTAGAAAAATAATCTTAAAAAAATTGTATTTCTTTGGGGGGTGAGGGGCAGAGAGAGAGAGAGAGAGAGAGAGAGGCCCAAGCAGGTTCAGCACTGTAACCACAGAGCCTGATGCCAGGCTCAAACCCACGAACTGTGAGATCATGACCTGAGTCAAAACCAAGATCATGACGCTTAACCAACTAAGGCACCCAGGCACCCTCGCTTTAAGCTTTACACTTCCTTCTGGTGCCAGTTTCTCAGATGCCCTAGGGGCCAGGGCCATGGGGATCCATCCCACGAACTGTGAGATCATGATCTAAGCTGAAATCAAGAGTTGAATAACTTCACTGACTTAGCTATCTAGACGTGCCCAGGAGAATAATCTTAATAGGGAACAAAGTCACAAAGAAATACATAAAAACATTAAAATAGATTGCTTCAGGGGCACCTGGATGGCTCAGTTGGTTAAGCTTTTGACTCTTTCAGGTCAGGTCATGCTCTCCTGGTTTATGAGTTCAAGCCCTATATCCGGCTATGTGCTGATGGTGCAGAGCCTGCTTGGGATTCTCTCTCCTTCACTCTCTGCCCCTTCAGCTCTCTCTCTCTCTCTTTCAAAATAAACAAACTTAAAAAAAAAGACAGATTGCTTCAAAATCTCTTAGGGGTTTGGTGATCTTTCCTAGCGGTTATTTTTATTCTATATTTGTGATTGAATTTTATATTTGAGAGTGAACATGCAGTTTGTAGTTGTCTTGGGAAAAGTGACATCAATTCCTCCTGTCCCCCAGTCTCATCCTCAGAGGCTAGCCTTCCCTCTGCAGATTTGTGTTTTCACTCAGGCTCTATATTGCCTTGTATTTTCTTTGTACCTTTGCCATCCCTCTACTAGATGCTGTAAGGCAGGCTCACAGCCTCAGGGTCTAGCACAATGCTTTGAGGTTATGCTAAGTTCCAAGTGATTGTTTGATGAATTGAATGATAAATGTTGTATGTAGTCAACTTGTAGAGAACTCTAAGACAGGTTTTCTCAACCTTGGCACTACTGACTTTTTCGGTCAGATAACCCTTTTTTGTGGGAGTTGTCCCGTGCATTGTAGGATGTTAGCCACATCTTTGGCCTTGACCCCCCAGATACCAGCAGCACCCCCTACCCCTAAATCCAATTGTGACATCCAAAGATGTCTCCAGACATTGCCAAAATGTGTCCTGGAGGACAAATTCGCCTGTGGTGGAGAACCTCTATTTTCAAGAACTTCTTTGTCACTTACCAGGCAAGTGGCTCGGAATCGCCTACCAAAATAAAAGATGGCGGATTGCATTTTTTAAGTAGTTCTTCTTATGTAATTTGAAAACTGCTGGGGGCGGGGTGGTGGTGGTGAGAGGAGAGAGTCCCTTGGACACTTGCCTCAAGTAATTTTTAATACATATAAATTGGATTATCTGAACTTGGATCTTCTGAAAGAATGAAATTGGAAAGTTAATGAGAGTTGGTGTTCCCGGGCTATGAGGGCAGAGATAAATGTTTCCTCTAGACACTTCATTGTAGAATGGCAAATGAGCTGAGGAAAAAGCCAAAGCTTCATCGTGAAATATACAATCTTTTCATTTTGAATATTTTTTTCCTTAGCCTCTGTGTTATAACCCCCTTCTGTCTGTTTTGTTGACATCTATGGGTTCTGCCCAAGGTGGAGGATGGTAGTTGCAGGGAGTGAGCCCAGGATGCCCCAAACTGCCTCTGCTGTCCCTGGCCTCTGGGACACGTGTGCATATGGAAGGCAGGCTCCTCTAAACAGCTGAAAGCAAATGGTGCTGGGGGTGAGGAAGAGGCTTCGGGAAAGCAGCTGGCTACATCTGCCTTGCATATTAAAGGCAGTGGTCCTGGAGCTGTTTTCTTGCTCATCCATAGAGTAGAATAGAATTAGATAAACAGGTGGGACTAAGTGTGAGTAGGGTCTTAACAAATCTCAGCTCCAGAACAATTTTTGTGCCTTAATCTCTGTTGGTGGCCTGCGTTCGCCTGGTCTGGGCCAGAATTGGATGGTCCAGGAGAGGACAAGCTCGCCTTAGTAGTTTCTCGTCAGTGCCAGGCCTCAGCTAGAATCAGGATAGAACACTAAACCCAACAGCACAGACTCTGTAAATGTAGTTCCTTACTGGAGGGTGGTGGGGATGCAAGCTTGATGGGTCTGGGGGCGGGTAGTGCCCTCTGGTGGGTTCCTTGCTGCTTTGTTCTCAGGCATCGGTTGCTGAGTCCTGGAGTTCATGGGTGTCACCTGGCAGGCAGCAGCCCGTATTGCTGGGTGCTTTGAGGGTTACCAGAGGGGCCAAATCTCATGCTACTATTTTTTAAATATCTCATAGCTCTGCTTGAGGGTTACTTTTTACTTTATATTTTGAATAATTGTATTCTCACAAAATGTTGCAAAAAGATACTGAGAAGTTTCACTCACCCTTCATTCTGCTTTCCCCCATCACAACATCTTACATATAATATAGTACAACATCAGAACCAGGACTCTGACACTGGTACCATGAACAGAGTTTATTC